ACTTGCGTTTTATGAACATGTCCCTCTCTGTGAATAGGAGGGCAACTCCCCATTCCCGGTGTTGTACGTGCACGACCGTCCACAGAGACACTGGGACAAATTCTTGCTTTTGTAGAATGAGCCCGTGCACTTAACTTCATGTTGGGTTATTTCTTCCCCAAGCACAGTGGGGACTCGGGAGTTTCCACACGGAAACGGTAGAAGCTGGGTTACTGAGTAGAGACCGCCTTACTCATTCCTTTCAAGCTGCTCTGAGTGGGGGTCCAGGATGGCTGGTCCATACTCCGGTGGTCCCAGGGTGAGGACAAAATGGGCACTTTCTCGGACGTCTGTATTAAGACCAGAGTGGGAAGGGTTGCATCCTCATGTTTTGTTTCTATTCGTAGGATATTTTATAAAGAAAAAAGTGTTTGGCTGCTAGGTTGCCTGATTTTGTTGGAAAGAAAGCCCTGCCCCCTTCGAGGGGGACTGACCACCCCTCGTTCAGATGGGTTTGAGGACTGACATTCTCCTTTCTTCTCTTGTCCTGTGCTTAATAACCTTCCCAGGACAGCTTGCGAGCCAGGTAACGAAGAAGAGGTTGGACTTCCAGTAAGCAGCTCAGAGCCGCTGAGTGCTCGCTTGGCTCTCACTGCATTTAGTTAGGAAACAGTACCTGGTTAATGTGTGTGGTCAGCACTGACGATGAAATTGGAGGTGTGTTCCATTACTCACGACTGTGGGACTTTTGGTCTTTCCTGGAACATGCGTCTGTCTGGTTTTCTTCTGTGAAACACGTACGTGGGTCGGCCAGCCGAGTAGCTACGGCAGGGCTGCCAGGTGCCCGGGGTTTGCACGCGTGGGGACAGCCATGCACGCCCGTTAGCTTCTCAGGCTGCTCCAAGCTGGCCTGTGCAGAGCAAAGAGCTGGGCCTCACAGGTTGGTGCCCATGGCTGTTCGTTATCCTGATGTCCCTCCTCTGGTAAGCAGAACACCTGTCACCAACACCAAAGTGAGTGTATTGGAAGGTTCTGGGGCCCAGAGTTTTCAACGGGAGCCTCGGACATCCCACCTGAAACAGGCGGGGTGCAGAGCTGGTCCCGAGAGCCAGCCGTAGGACTCTGGCCGTGGTCTGGGGACAGTAGCCAGTGCCCTGGCTTCCTGTCCAACCACGTGTTTGCCACAGTATTTAATGTCTTTCTTTTTAAAACTGTCATCATGCAGGTATATGTTTGTGTTTCCTTCTTTGAGGATTAGTTGTAAAATTCAAAATATTGGAGAAATATGACTTTATGATGTGTAAACTCATCTGTAGAATTATTTTAAAAGGGCAAATTGTGAAATGAAAACCAGCAAATTATTTTCTGGTCCTGTGTATCTCTGGGATTGCTGTCTGGTTCTGCTTCTGTGTCTGGAATACAGAGGATAGAACCCACTTTTTAAAGCTATGTTTTGGTAATGTTGATTCAACTAAAAAAATATTCTGTGGGCTCTTTAACCACAAGGTATTATTTCAAAGGATAGTAATTATGTAAAGCAGTATTTAAAGCAGCAATTCCAGAGGAGGATAAAGATGCCCCTTTGCCACCAGAATCATTTTGCATGTTGAAAATGTCCCCCCTGGAAATTAGAGAGCTGGGAAGACCGGAGGGAGGGGCCCGTGCGGCCAGATGCCCGTCCAGGGCCGGAGTCAGACTCAGACCGTTCTGCCCGAGGCTCCCCAGCCAATGACCCAGAGTAAAAATAGCTAACAAGCCTGTGAATTGAAGTGGGGTTTTCAGGAATGGTTTTGACTGCCCAAAAAAAGTCAGCCGTGGAGATCCATAATCTTATGTTTTTAACACAAGATAAAATGCATTGTCAGTGATTTTAATCTGGAAGTTTTAAATTCAGATAAAATTTTAAAAGTCCTCTGAGAGTGAAAGAGTTGGCAGATGAGCCTCACCATCCCTAAATGGAAATATGGCTTAATTCAGTAGCGTCAAAGAGCCAAGTGACTTGAGTTACCTTGTGCAAGTTGTCCGGACCGCTCACGTACAGGAGTGCATTCTGCTCTGTTTTGTGTTTGGTGGTGCTCCGGTGGAGGTGTGTGGACCACACGCAGACAGCAGGTGATGCTTCCCCGCCCATGCGCGCTGAGCGCCTGCCCGAAGACGCGGCAAAGTAGCTAGGGCAGGTGGAAAACAAAGCTTGTAGACGGTTTGTGTGGTATGATCCGTTTCCTGGCTGAAAAAGATTAAGTATCTCTAGACAGTCTCTTTAACAAGAAAAAAACCTGGAAGCTACATAGTGCAGCGGGTAGGTGAGATAGCATCGGGGAGAATGTCCCCTTTTTACATTATAGAGCTCTTAAAGCAGGTATGTTTTTTAATAAGCAGATATTGCTCTTACCAGAGAAAGGGGAAGGAATCACACTAGAATAACTCATCACTTAAAGGTGTGCTGTGTCAATCTTGTATCTTTCCCTGTCACTGAGCCTTCAGTGTGGGCATCCACTGTGTTTTTGAGAGGCTCTATCACACTGAGCATTGAAGGGGGATGCACGTATTCACAATTTGACCAGATTTCTCCTGAAATCCGCATTGCCGGAGTGTTCCCCTGAAAATGTTATTTCTATTAAAATAAGCACGCAGCGGCCGCAGCTCTGCACCCTTCAAAGGACATTTTTACCTGCCCTCTTGGGGCGGTGGCTGCAGTAACCGAGCTCACGTTCATCTGTAGAAAGACTTAAGTCATGGATGGCAGTGCCAGACACGTGCAGCAGGGCTGCTCCCCTGCAGGGGACGCCCTTCATCCACAAAGGAGGACCTCACTGGTCAAAGGCAGAAAGGCGGCCCCTTGCTCAGACACACTGATGGCCCCGCAGCTTAGAAGTGTCTTTCCCAGGGAGGGAGAGTTCCGGGAGGCACTTTGATGCCCATGCATGCACCCCGTGCGTGCACTCCGTGTGTACATCCCGTGCATTCAGCCCATGCATACACCCTGTGTGTGCACCCCGTGCGTACAGCCCACGTGTTCAGCCCATGTGTGCACCTTTCCACAAAAAATGACGTGCACCTTTGAACCCTGTTGCTTGGTGTGTCTGTGTCCTGGGGCTGTCGTAAGTGCCTCGGGCTGGGGGGCATGGAAGTGGGGAAGCTGTTGTCTCGGGTCTCGGGGTGTCTGCAGAGCGGGTGCTCCCAGAGGCTCTGGCCGAGCGTCTGCTCCAGGCCCTCCCACTGCTCGTGCCCCGTCCGTGGCTCCGTGGCTGGAGACGCAGCGCCGCATGACCACTGTGTCACAAGCCATCTGTGTCTCCTCCTCTCATAAGGACACCGGTCATTGGATTGGGGTCTGTCCCACTCCAACCAGTAGGACCTCATGTCAACCAACAATCTCTGCAAAGACTCTCTTTCACACTAATAAGGTCACAGTTGAGGTCATAGGTTTTGGAGACACAACCCACAGCGGGGACCAAGCCTTCTGACTCCTGACTGTCACATTGCGTTTTGCCGAGGACAGAAGCACAGGGTTGAGAGTCCCGGTGGCACAGGGTTCCCGTGGGCCTCCTCCTTTTGCTTTAGAGAGCAACTTAGGTTCCGGTGTTCGGGGCTCTTTCCAGGTAGCTCCACATGGACCTTCTAACTTGGGCAGAGTTTTCTTGTGTCTGGTTAGTTCTACCTTTTTGTTTCTTAGCAGATGGAACAATTCAATTTCCAGATTCTCTTATGCTTCCTTTTTATTATTACTTATTTTTAGTTTTTATTTGAGATATAATTGACATATAGCATAGGCTTCTTTTTTAAACACACCAATTACTTGATTCAAATGAGACCTCCTTCTGCACATTTTAACTTTTATGTTTCCCTATTTATGCTTTTAGGTTCATTTTAAATCTTGATACTATTTTAAAACCAAGCAGCAAAGTTCTGTTTATCCTCCAACTTTTAGATCCTAAAGCAACACTACACATTTGTGTATAGAAAATTACAGGAACAAATGTGGTATTCACCTAAATCGTGCTCTCACTTAGCTCATAGCTCACATGCAAGGGTCTTTAGCTACAGGGATAGAATCCATGATCTTGGAAAGATTTCATCTGTTCAGTAGTCGACAGACTACCTCTCCAGGGGAAAGGATGCAGCAGTGAACAGAGGGAAACCCACTTGCCCTCAGGAAGCTGAGACTGATGGACGAGGCACCTGCTGTGCAGACAGGAGTTGGGGGTGTGCTGTTTTATGGGGTGATGAGTCCTTGCACATGTGAGCTGCCCCAGAGGGCAGTGAGGGAGGAAGCCAGGGGGATGGCTGCTACAAGAACATTGCAGGTAGAGAGGCAGGAGCAGGTGCAGAAAGCCCCAGGAGGGAGAGGGCTGAGTCCTGGAGAGACGGCAGGGGGCAGCGCGGAGTGAGTGGGAGGCGTGGGGCTCACGGGCCATGGAGGAGACAGAGGCAGTGAAATTGTACTTCTTCCCTGGACCCTACAGCATCCTACAGAACACCTCTCAGCCAAAACCTTCCCTAAGAGCTTGTCATCCAGCACAGCGTCACATGACTCTCCTTTCAGATTCTTAACCCACGGTGTGCGTCCGCACAGGGCACATCCGACTCAAGGCGGGACCAGCAGAATCTCCACCGATTCTGCTCCCTGCAGAATCTCTTCTTGGAGACCTTGTTCTCTTATCTCTTCGTGGAGACCTTGTTCTCCCCATTATCCACTTGCCACACTGGAAAATGTGACCCAGAGAGAGATGGGCAGAGAAGGAATCAGTCAGTCTACTGACTGGAGGTCTTCACACTCCTAAGGTGTTTTTAAACTATTCTGGAAGCCTGGAGGTAGAGTTAGTGACACGGACATCTTGTGGACAGAGCAGAAGCATTCCCCGGCGAGCTAGAGCACAGGGCTATGTGGCATGCAGGTCTGCGTTTGGGGGTCCGTGGGACCCCAACATGGCTGGCTGCCTTGGGTGTGTGCCCTTGGGTGGCTCTCTGGCCAGGCAGCCTGTTTGCTTCTGCGTGTTCAGACAAAACTGCTCTTTCAGGCCTACGGATGACAGCAACCAGCCCCCGGGCCGGGGCGTCCTATCCATGCACGGGCTGACCTACGGCGTCATCCGGGTGGACTCGGAGGAAAAGCTGTCTGTGCTCACCGTGCAGGACGTCGGCCTCGTGATGCCTGGCGGTGAGTGTGGGCACCAGGCTGCAGGCGGTGTGGGGCGTCGAGGTGGAAACCCCGGCTGTGGCCAGTGGACTGGTCTGTTAGCGCATGCCTTCCCGCCCGGCACCCCCGTGCCCCTCTGGCATGAACACAGGGTGCTTAAATTCCACTGTGCATCTTTAAAGCTTTGTGGTAATGCTACCCCTCCTGGTGACAACATTCAGGAAGCCTCCGTGGGCATCTCTGCCCCCTCTCATGCTGGGACTCCAGAGTCCTCCTCCCCAGGGGCGTTGTGGGCCCCGCTGCACCGCTGCAGCCCCTGAGATGGTCCTCCCCCTGCAAGGGTCTGCTTCCCACCGGCCATCCTAGCACACTGGAGAAGGCTGGGCACCCAGTCTGGCTGCAGACAGCATAAAAACCCATCCATGGGGCTCTGGATGACCAGCAGTGCTCACTTGCAGCAGAAGAGTCTGTTCTTAAAAGTCATGGACCTTCTCCACAAATGTGCACACGTGCTGTGGTCAGGGCATGGCCAGCCATCGCTGGCTGCACACCCCACCTCCCGAAACCCTGGCTCCGGCTCTTGCACGGACTTGAGGTCTGTGGCGGGAGCATGGGGTGTGTGCAGTACCAAAGCACTCAGGCAGCCGGGACCCTGGGCTCCACGTGTCCTCCTCAGTCTGGATGGCAGAGGTCACTCCCCTTAAATACGATCCACACATGGGCGCCTGGGTGGCTCAGTTGGTTAAGCAACTGCCTTCGGCTCAGGTCATGATCCCAGAGTCCCGGGATCAAGTCCCACATCGGGCTCCCTGGTCGGCGGGGAGTCTGCTTCTCCCTCTAACCCTACTCCCTCCTGAGCTCTCTCTCTCACTCACTCTCTCTCTCAAATAAATAAATA